TCCATGGAGGCTGGCAGCTCGGAAAATTAAAGTTTACCAGTCCGCTGCCAGCTCCGAATCACAGGACACTCCGCACTCCCTCAACTCTGTCCCAGGGGCCAATTTCCCCTCACCAACTCTCTCTTAGTTCTCCTTTAATCTCCACGGTCTCCACCAGTTCCTTCTGTTCAAGCCGCGATGTTAGGCGGCATTAGATGGTAACCACGGCCGGCAATGTCGGTGGCCAGCAACAGGCAGCGTCCCTCTGCGTCCCTGACGCTTCCCAAACTCCCCTCTCTCACCAGCTCTCTCGTTGTTTGTTGTTTAAGTTAGTTCCAATCTCCACCGTCTGCTACGCTCGTTCGTTCGAGCCGCGATGTTAGGCGGCTCAGATGGAAAGAGACACAACGCTTCCACAACCAGCGAGCCAACAGACAACGGGGGCCGCGGCAGCCAACAATAGTCGGGGGAAGATCAAAGTTCCCCTGGCAGCTTGGCCACGAAGTCCCAAAACAGCTGAGCTGAGCCGCGGCGTTCACAAGCCGCGGCGTTTTTCGAGCCGACAACGGCAAGCCAGCGGCACAGCGGAGGTTGTAGTTGCGGCGGTCAGGCAGCAAACACGAAGGGGGAGGTCGGGCTTCTCAGACCAGCTGAGCCGCGGCGTTTTTTCAAGCCGGCAACGGCAGGCTAGCGGCACAGCGGAGGTCGTAGTCGCGGCGGTCAGGCAGCAAACACGAAGGGGGAGGTCGGGCTTCTCAAACCAGCTGGGCCGCGGTGTTGGGCGGCGTCAGCGGCTTCAACTGTGCCGGCGTCTTTCGGAGCTGGCAGCTCGGAAGAGTAGAAATTTGCCGGTCCACTGCCAGCTCCCGGACCGCAAGAAGTTCACACCACCCCCAGCCTCCCTCGGCTCAGCTCCAGAGCACAAATTCCTCCTCTCCACGAGATTTTCTTTCAATGCAAAGCCAGAGCGGCGAACTCAGCAGCCATGTTCCTTGCCCATGCGCAGTCTTTGTATTCTCTCTTAAGGAGTTGCTTGTCAAATATTTGCTAACCTGCATACTGGACAAACTAATAGTTTTTTTAAAAATATACCTGATATAATGGGTCTCTCAGCAGAAGAAACAGAAGGGGATGTTTCTCACTGAGAAAGGTGAAGAAAGATAATGAAGTGGACAAAGAATTTAAACTGACTTAGAGTAAACAAATGCAGATTTCAGGCAAAGGATCCTCCTTTTTTAAATTGAATCCCTAGCATTGGGAACTAGCCGAGCCTGTCTGATTTATTTGTATACCTCATTCCAAATCTCCATGCATTTTGAATAGAGGCAATGTGGAAACCCTAGACAGAAAATCAACACAGAGAGATGTCTTTCATGAACCATCTGAAAATACAAACTTTATTCCCAGTACAACTTCAGCTATGATTGAAGAGGCAGAGTGTGAATCTTCCCTATTTCTCCCTTCTCCTTAAGATTTTCTTCTTCTTCAAGGAATGCAGAGAAGGTCATGAATGAATCACTAGCTTTCCTTGCTCCCCTATTTGAAGTTCAGCTCCAACACTTTCCCCATCATTGGATGTGATAAAGACAGCTCTCCAGTAGTTTGATTAGACTTCAACTTGCCATATTTCTATTCCGTTTATTTTTTAATAAGTTTAATTGTCAAATTGGTGCAAAGCACAATAAGAACTGCAATGAAAAATGAAGTGTTATGAACCTAAAAACAATTTTATTATAATTTCCCTACTTTTATCATTAGATGTTCCTTAGTATTTAGATCTGGCCTCAGGATAATGTAGCATTTTGGGGAGAAAAGATGCAGCTCAACAGAGCAGCACTGGAAGCCAAGATGGAGAGATCTGCACAACTATTATAGCTTTTCCTTTGGTACTCAGATAAGTGGGCAGGAAGGAGAGTCAGACACTGAAAAAGACCAGCATGCTGAAGGTGATTAGCTTGGCTTTGTTAAAAACCCCAGGCAGGTTCCTAGCCAGAAAAGCTACGGTGTAGCTGAGCACAAGATAAAACATGGTGACAGACCCTTTATTGCACTGAAGGGTGCTCTCTCCAGGTTGGGAGTGGAGATCAGTATCAGGGAATTCAAGAGAAATTCCCAGCCAAAGGCACAGATTACAATTTGGATGCTAGAACCATAAAGGATGATGGAGTTGGCTAAACTCTTCCCCAACCAGTTTCTCATTCTGTTTCCTCATTTTGAGGCCAGGAATGCCAACACCACTGATTGTTTTGCCAACATAGAAGGCACAGCTACTGAGAAGACAATGCTGAACACCCCTGTAGCGTGCAGTACTGGCTATTAAGCTGGCTGAGAAGTATATCTAAGGTGGGCTGATTGACTAGTCTTCTTGAAACAAACATGAACAATTGAATTTGTTGCAATATTCTGCTTTGGATTCTGTACATTTTTATTAATGACTTTGATGAAAGGAGAAAGGGAATGTTTCTTAGAACTTGGAGTTCTAATACTATAGAATACCAAAGGGATCACTGAGGCCTTGAACCATAACTGTGTCCATGAGGTTGCCTAAATCAAGATGGATTAAAATATTTAAGTTTCTATCTGGAAATGGATTGAAATGTGTCTTGAAGAACTGATTTATTGCATTTTGAAATAAGCATCTATAATGGAAAAGGGGCATGATAGCAGAAAGTCTGAAATTAGATATACTGTATAATGTCAAAATCTAGCCAAGCCAGGCATTTTTTTCTGATTCAGGGTAGGACATAACTTTGTATTAATCCTTGTACTTGCAATTTACAGGATTGTTTTCCGAAGTGACAGTTAATTAAACTCCTTGAAGAGAAAAGAGGGAGGAAGAAGTCCCCAGTGACTCCATAATTATAGGAGAGAAGTGGGACACCTGCCACAGCTGCTTTACAGAGCTAGAGGTGAGTCTGTAAACAAGAACTTACTTTCAAGGTTTCACCAGCTTGGATACTAATCAAGGAGGGGCAAAAATGATTTTCTTGCTGAAAGAAATCAAGGCTGAGATTTGGTGATAAAAGAACAAGCAACACTAGTTAGCTTAAAACCTTGCTTTCTATAGCCCTGAAGAAGTTCCCTGCAGATTCAGATTCTAAACCATGGGAGTCTAACCTGCTGGCTTGCCTGGGACACATTGAGTGAAGAGGAATTGATATGGGCTGCATATAAAATATGTAATATAAATGTACATAAATAAACTCCCTGTTCTTTTAAAAATATATTTATTATATCTTGTGAGACCATATTACTGGCTATGAAGCGGTATATAAGTCTACTGCTATATTTAGGGCTGCATGTGGTCTGTGGGCTTCCAATTAGGCCTGCTTGTTCCAATTAGGCCTGCTTGTTCTAAATGGAGTCCAAAGCTCTTTCCTGAGAGCCAAGGCGATTTAGACAATCGTCAGATCCACATCTCCCACAATTCCCCATAATAACAGAAGAGAACCATTTATATGAAGAGGTACTTATGAGATCATCCTGTGTAGTTGAAATTGTTCAGTTTTAAGGCACCAGAGAAAGAACAACAGAAAGGACATCAAAACATATTCATTGCATTGATCATTTATCTTGGGTTAAGAAAAGACACCACTTTTCTCATTTATCAGTTTGTAGAAAACTGCAAATCTCTTAATGTAATGTTTTAAATCAAAAGGAGCTTTCGGATTTCACTCTCTCTGCCCCTATTTCTCCTTTGCTCTTTCAGACTTACTTATTAAATCAGTGAAATATCAAGTATGATTCCTGAAAAAATGTGATATGATTTAGAAAAGTAAAGTAGTCTAACAAAACACTTTTTGTGCAGAGAAATTTGTACATATCCCCCTCCCCATATTTGAAAAAGCAGGGAAATTTTCTTCTTAAATTACATTCCTGAAAAATGAATCCAGAAGAGTTAGATTTTCTATTTTACTTTTATTGCTAGGTGCTCCTTGGTGTTCAGATCTGGTCTTAGTAAAATAATATAACATTTAGGGAAGAAGATGCAGCCCAGCAGTCCAGCATTGGAGGCCAGAATGGAGAAGACCTGTACAGCTACCATATATTTCCCCTTGGTGCTCACATAGGTGGGCACAAACGACACCCAGACACTGCAGAAGACCAGCATACTGAAGGTGATCAGCTTGGCTTCATTGAAGGCCCCAGGCAGGTTTCTGGCCAGGAAAGCCACGGTGAAGCAGATGGTGGCCAGGATGCCCAGATAACCCAGGGTACCATAAAACATGGCAACAGAGCCTTCATTGCATTGCAGTACAATTTCTCCAGCCTGGGAATGCATGTCAGAATCTGGAAAGGGAGGAGAGATTCCCAACCAAATGGCAGAAATGGCAATCTGGACACTAGAACCAGAAATAACAATAGAGTTGGTCAAAGTTTTTCCCAGCCATCTCCTCATGGTGTGTCCTGGCTTTGTGGCCAAGAAGGCCAACACCACTGTGATGGTTTTGGCCAAAACAGAAGAGACAGCAAGTGAGAAAATGATGCTGAATGTTGTTTGACGGAGAAGGCAGGTGGACCTTCTTGGCTGACCAATGAAGAGAAAGGAAGTCAAAAAGGAAAGCAGGAGGGAGACCAGGAGGATGTAGGAGAGATCCCGATTGTTGGCTTTGACAATGGGAGTTTCTCTATGTTTAATAAAGATTCCTAACACCAGGGCAGCAATGCTGGAAAAGCATAAGATAAAAGAGACTAGGATGATCCCTAAAAATTCCTGGTAGGACAGAAAAGTTATCTTCTTGGGAGTACACTGAACTTTGGCCATGTTTGGATGTTGATCTTCTGGACATTTTAGGCATTTTTTTGCATCTGAGGAGAGATAGAATAATGTCTCAGGTACAACTTTTTGTTTTTCTATTTGGTCAAATGCCTGTTTTGGATGAAAACTACTTCATATACAGTATACATATTTGAGGGGGAGATATTAAAGGCAAGATGAAGCATGGGAAGAAATTAGAGCAATGAGCACCAATCTTCCCCTACATCCCAGGTAGTTCTCAAGAGGATTGGGAAATCTCCAGCATGGTAAACTCAAAGGCAACCAGGGTGTGAAAGAGTAATGTAATAACAGAATTAGAAGGCCCCTTGGAGTTCTTCTAGTCCAATCCCCTGCTCAAGCAGGCCATCCTGTACTATTTCAAACCAATGGCTGTCCAATATCTTCTTAAAATCCCCCAGTGTTGGAGTGACTACAACTTCTGGAAGAAGCCCTTCTACTGATTAATTGTTCTAACTGTCAATAAATTCCAACTGTCAGGAATTTGCTCCTCTCCTTGATTATTTTCCATTTACCGCTTCTTCTCCCTCTTACTTTCAGTTGCTTTGGAAATAGTTTTACTTCATCTTTGTGCCAGCCCCTCAAATATTGCAACACTGCTATCATTTCACTCCTAGTCCTTCTTTTCATTAAATTAGACAAACCCAATTACTGCAACCATTCTTCATATATTTTAGCCTCCAGTCCCCTAATCATCTTTGTGGCTCTTCTCTGCATTCTTTCTAGAGTCTCAAAATCTTTTTTATTGGTGTCATCAAAACTGGATGCAGTATTCCAAGCATGATCTTACCAACACTTAACACTTCACATGATATTGATTCTATCCCCTCTATTAATGCANCACTCAGATCAGATCAGCCCAACATCTAACGAACAGAGAACTAACAGTCATTCCTGCTCCCTCTTATGGCCAGTTGAGTAAAACAGCAACCAATCATATTCTACAAAATGATTTAAAGAAACAGGTACAGTATTGTTATACAATTTATATATTGCCAACCCAACTGTTAGATTATATTCCTAACAGAATGTTTAAAACTATAGCCAGTTTCTTTTTGTGAATTAGATTGTTGTTACATTACAAGGCTAATATTAATCATACAAATGCTATTGTGCCATTACATATTTAAGTAATAGAACATCATTATTTTGTTCATGTGTCTTCCAGTCAATTGAATTCAACATGAACCTTTTTTTTTGTCCCATCTGAGAAGGGTGAATTCCTGTCTCTGTACAGGGCTGAGATAGATTCCATGCAAACACACATATAATTCTTTTTGTTGGTGTTTGATTTCCCTCCCCCTTTATTATTTTTACAAATAGCACAAGGTGGTGAACATATCCAACACAGTTTCCTATTTTACCCACAATAATAAGCTTGTGATGAGGGTTGAATGTCATAGAGAGTGACGGGCCTAGGGTCACCAGGCTGTCTTTCAGGGCTAAAATGGGACTTCAACTCATGCTGACCAAATCTGTGTCCTCAAATTATTCTGATCTTATGAGTTTTGGGCCACTTTTGTGAGAAGTCAAGAAAGTTAGGAGATTTCCGTTAATTTTTTTTGTTCTTTATTTTTCAATGTTTGAAGTAGATGTGAGTTTTTTCTTCTTCCAATTTGTTTTAGACATTGACAACTCCAAGTCCCCTACTCCAGATTCTATAAAATTTTCCATTGTCATGTCTGTCTCTTGTCTGTTTGATACATTAATTGAAGGTTACATGTAAGAGGAAGTGGACACAATAAAATGCTTAAAAAAATTAACAAGGGAATGGACTCTTCCCCCCCACCCACCCCACACACAAACAGCTTTTGCAGATTTTTTCCTTTCTATTTGAACTAAGAAAAAATAAATAAATATGTTTGAATTTAAAGTCTTGAAAGATATTGACTTTAGCAAAAAATCATTAAGAAATTATGCTTAACAGTGATGTAGCTAAACCATGTGATAGCTAGAGGGGGATAAGACAAGATTGTCTACTGCCCTCTTTGTTTTTTATTTTGGCTCTTGTCAAGGCCCAGGAAAAAGGATAGCAGAAGGGAGGTTCTGTTAGGTTAGTTGCCTAGCAACAGAGTCAAGATTCCAATTAGTGACTGTTGGCTGCAGCAACATTCTGAGAAGTGACAGTTGATAGAAGAGACTGGGGGGAGGGTTCCCTCTCTTCTCTTTGCTGGAAATGACATTTAATACTCAAAAGTGACCTCTGTGTATGAATTTCACTCTTGGACTTTAGTTGCTTGGACTGGCTGACACTTCGATCTTGGACCAATTTTGATCTTGGGCCAACTTTAGATGACTCTTTTGCTACTGGAGGGCAAACAGGCTCTGGTAGAGAGGAAGATGTGGCTTTAGTCCTGGGGGAGAGTATAATATATTTTGTCAGTCAGTGATGGTGACCTTGAGTAGTGGGACTTTATGTGAGGAAATGTGTCATTTGAATGAGGAACTTGTAATATCCATTTTCTTCCAACACTTCACAGACCTCAGGGGAATGGGAACACTGATTCCTGTAGAACAGGAGTGTCAAACCCATGTTATCAGGGCAGCATCATGTGTCAAGTCTTTTCTCCCTTCACTAACTGGGCAGGAGTGGGGACAGCATGTGACACATCTGACCTGTGGGCCACGAGTTTGACACCCCTGCCATAGAGCTTTTAAGGAAACTAGGTTAAGACTGTCAAAATAATTCTGAAGAAATCTGCCAACCATTTGAGGACAGTACTTGTGTAGTTTAGTTTTAGTTTAGTTTAGTTTGTAGTTTATTTATAGGCCGCCCTTTTCCCTNATGCATGCATGCATGCATGAATGCATGAATGCATGAATGCATGAATGCATGAATGCATGAATGCATGAATGCATGAATGCATGAATGCATGAATGAATGAATGAATGAATGAATGAATGAATGAATGAATGAATGAATGAATGAATGAATGAAATGAATCAGTGTATTGCTGATTTGGTCTGCATTTCTTCCAACTGGTGAATCAGTGAGGATTCCTGTATGAAAACCAGTATCTTAGTCTATTTTCGGTGGCTGCTAGGAGAATGTCACTAATGGCCCTAGCACTGGAGTCCATAGAAATAGACTGATGAAAGCAGAGTGACAGTAATGTTTTGCAAGTCTCACCCCTTTTCTAATGACACCAAGTCATAGAGAAGGAACCTATGATTTGGTATTGTAGCACCAGTTATGTTATTTTGATGAAACCTGCATGAAGCATGTGGATGCTACTATCCTCCCCAAAGTAACAAACACATGCACACACAGAGAGATGCACAGACCCACAAAGATGTCCTCCAAACTCTTCCTGTTACTTCAGCATCACCCACCTTCCCAATTGGAGATGGTCCCTTCTGCACAAGGAAGGCAATTGTAGCAGCAAAGGGGTTCCCCTTCCCGAGGCACTTTGACAAACCCTGGATGGCAGCGCTCCACACACTTGGAAGAAGGCAGGGGCTGAGCAGAAAAAAGGAGAAGTCAAAGAATTTTGCTTGATCTCATTTACTTGTGAACATGAAGGTTCAGGAGAATAAAGTCATTATTTAGTTGTCGGCAGAATCTGGAACTTTAAACCGGTCTCCTGTTCTTGTGAACAAATTTAAAGTAAATAAAGCACCAGCAAATACACACACACACACACACACACACACACACACACACACACACAAAATGTATATATCTGTCATACATGGCTGTCAAAACTCACAGTCAAAAACTAGAGAAGCATCAATTACACTACATTATTTTAAGAACTCACTGACAAAAGATATTGGACCCCAGATCCATATTTTGCAACTAAACATAGATGGCATAAGTAGAAATAAAGGGGGGTATCTAAGCAAACTGGCGATAAATAATAGGATAGATATTATAACACTACAAGAGGCTCATTTGGCTGATGAGGAACAGATTAAATCTTGAGGAAATATTCTGGAATACAAAATTGTAGCTGACATAACATCTGGGTGGTCTGAAAGTGCTGTATAAATGCCAGTCTGATTTAATACTAAGGAGATTTCTACATTTGCCCCTTGTCCTAGCAGAAACATGCCTGATGACTTTGCTTTTCTGCTGTTTCTGTAATATGCAAACTTTCCTATTGTCCCCAACCCATAAACAAGACAGACTTAAGTTGTCTTAAATTAGGCAGAAATATTTGACATGCATTAAAGTCAGTAAAGTTATTAAAGTCTGAGAAATTAAAGACTTTTGTCTCTCACCTGGTTCAGTGAATGGAGGAGGGCAGTACCATCTTGGTCAATGAAAAGCTTGAAATCTAGAGATCCTTCTCTTTTCAGTCTCCCAAATTTCCTTCTCATTGTGGACTTATTAGGGAATATCACAGAGTTTATGACATTCAGATCAGCCGTCATTTTGCCGTTCTCATCTAAATACATTCCATCCATGGAAGAGTTGTAAAAATGGTTGCTTTGGAGGAAGGGATGAAACTGGAACAGAAGTAGAAATAATGGAGTGAAGATGTGGGGAAGAAGGGGAATGAAACAGAGGAAGAGAGGAAAAAGAGAATACATGTTGCCCATGTTTTTTACCCTATGGTGCAAAACTCATTCCAACTCAGGTGGCTGTACATTTTTCTAGACATCTGGAGACATCTTATTCTAACCTTGAACACCCATTAAGAGATCTAGTACTTTGGGAAGGCAAAGACATATGTTGTGTATTAATGAGAATCCTAAAACTGAGCTGGGCTTCCACTCAGGAAAAATAAAATGGGCAAAGGTTAAAATATGTTAGTATGAAATGGGAGGACACAAAAAGGAACAATCAAGTAAACTTTAATTTATTCAGCATCACTCCCTTGAATAAAGAGTAGAGCTACTGATTTAGAGTTATATTGGCATTGATCTTCACTCAAGTTTTTTTTAAATACTTATCATTGTATATCACATTACTTTTAGAACTTTTAAATAAGTGCTTGAACCATTATTGTTTTATACTTAAGACAGGTTGACTTTGGCACTTGCTCAAATCTCAGCATATTGCTTTGTTTCCACTTAGTTGTCCGATCTATGCAATTATAGAACTGACTCTCAGGTAGAGCACAGAGACCTATAATGGAAAAAATAATACCTGCCATGGTCGCAACCTATGAACTTCCATTCTGTCCCCATCCTTCCTCCTCATCCTCCCACTCCAGGAAAAATATGCAGCATTTAATGCCCGTGCCACAGCCCAGACACAATGGTAAATGTAGTAGCTGTCTAGAGAGAAACTTCTTTCCTTATCCTCCAGGTACAGTTGGACATTCATCTTCTCTTTCTCAATGCACCTGATCCAACCTTTCTTGGCCAAGGGATGCTTTGAATATGAACAATGAAATGCTTTCTGGAGAAATCTCTCAATTGATCGATAAAATAAATAGAAATCATGTTCATTATTTTGGTGGCTGAAGAAGGAAAAGAAAACACTAGTGTAGAGTTTTGTGTCTAAAGTATGTCTCAAATCCAGCAAAAAATCCCAGTTGGCTGTAGTGATCCAAACTTTGCCACAAATGGGTGCTTTTATGCTCTCTGCCACTGTCTGAATAAGGATTATTCCATGTAGGAAGGTACCTTGATCTCCAAAGTAAACAAAGATATTGACTTGAATCCATTTGCGGAATGGTTTTAAGGGAGCATTTATGTTTGAGGCAAACAGAGAGATGGTTGGTGACAAAACTACACAAATTCCATTCCTTATAAGCAGGGCAGTGAAGGTTCTTACGAAGGTTTCTCCATCATCAGATTCTATAGAAAGAAGCCCAATTAAAGTCCACTTGAAATGATGGAAGAGTTTTACAATTCCCAAGTAGAGCATTCCTTCTGAAGGAACAGTTCGATAGAAAAAGGGGAAATGAGTTTTATCACTTAGCACATGTGAAGCAAAAGTATAACTGACCTGAAAAGGAAAGAAAGAGAATAAGGGTTACTTTGTATGCAGATCAAGGCCAAAACTTTAGCTATCCAAATTGGGGGCTACTGGGGAAAGGGTAGTCTACCTTTTGCAAGAAAATGAACTTTCATAGGGAAGCTTCTTTCCATGATGCTTTGCCAATCCCTGAGCCAAAAAACAGAAATCTCACTTTAATGGAGTTCATTTCTCCACTAATGTTTAAGACTTCTAGAATCATCCCACCAATATTCGGCCAAAATAATTATTAAAAGGGACAGGCCTTTTACCATCTCAACAATGGCTGGGTGATGCTTTGAAGATGCTATTATTAAGGGAGAAATTGAAATTAGCATTCACCGATCACCAATCAGCATTGGGATCTTAAGCTGCTAGCATATCACTTCTATTACAGATCTAGATAGAGTTCCATGCACACAAACACCTGTGGGATTTTGTAGGTAGCCAACATGGATGAAATCTGGATGGAGATATCCGTGGCAGTGCCTTCAAGGAGAGCCAGGATGTTTTTCTGTCTTCCACAGCTGTAGTTGGGGATGTTAGCCTTTCCAGTTGAAAGCAAATCCAGCAGAACATCTGAAGTCATTCTTACGTCAAAATAGCTGTTCTGGATTGTATAGCCCAGAGTGATGTTGGGTAAGATATTTGGATCCCGGTTGATGTTTTGGACAGCACAAATGAAGGACACAATTTTCCAATAAAACTGAGCTTGTCTTCTGCAAGTATGTACACAACCCATTAATATTAACCTTTAAAACAAACCCAACTATTTCATTGTTTTAATACCAAAGTTCTTTTCAATGGAACTATAACTAATGATTGAGCATCAATGTCCACGCACAGTTCCCAGCTATTGGGGATGTTTTCCGCCTACTATCATTGTGAGCTGGGAGTTGGATCTTAGTTTAGGGACAACACCTCTTTTGAAGACGATTCTTATTTCTTATCTCCCAGTTTTTGAACTGTGTTTGCATTTCAAAGGTACTGAAGACCTTAAAGCAAAACAACCCTGAAAAAAATGTTTAAAAACATTGACCAGCAGAAGAAAACTAATTAAAATACTTTCCCCCCCAAAAGTAGCAGAGATGCAAGTTCTAGTAAATGTATGAGTTGGGGATGAGGGTTCTCTGAAATCCTGCCTTCTAACCAATATTGCTGATTTCTCAATTTTGTAGATTTCTTCACATTGGACTGATAAACTTACTTTTAAAAAAAATCAAGAATAAAATGAAGCAGCAAACTGCTTGTTCCTTTTTAGGACATTTTTCCTTTTGCAACATGTAAGAAATCACTATCAATTTCCTGTCAGATATTTGGAGCAGTTTCCTCCCCAATCCTTATCCTTAAGCTTATCCTTCTCCTCTTCACTAACTAGGTTGTTATTTAGTCTGGGGTATTCCTATTGGTGCAACTAGAAATTTTATCAACAAAATATGCAGAAAATCAGAGTTGTTGTTTGGTACATTCTGGGTGGTGCACAATAAAGAATCAAAATATAAAACAGTATATAAAAAACTAAAATGTTGCAGTTAGCTTCCCAATCTCTAGGGATTGTTAGCCAGCATAACAGTTTACAGCCACATCAGCTGCAGCACAGGAAATACATCTCCTGATCTGCCTTCAAAGAGAAAAGGGGACAGTAATTGCCCCATGTGGAGAGACCTAGGAATTTTGAAGAACCAGAATGTTACCAATACAGCAGCCATCAGATTACCTGGAAAACCACTACAGACTTACAAGTGAGCCACATTAGAAGGAGTTCTTCGGAAGTTAATTGGTTGAAAGTGAATCTTCATTCTACAAATTATGCCACTAATCAGAAGGTCCCCTTGTTTGGCATGATTCACTGGCTGTTCCCCATCCCACCCCAGAGTCAAAGGGCAGGGGGTCTGCCACGTCCTGGAAACTGTGTCTGACAGGAACAGGAGCAGTAAAAATAACAAGCACAACAGAAACATCCTTCTATGCCTGCAATCTCTCCTGTCTTGTAACTGCTTTCATTACATTGTTAGCAGAACATAATTCATGATGAACCTGCAGTGGGTTATACAGCACAGACAGAGCTCAATAACTGGCTAACATCTGAGAGGATGAGACAGTGTTTTTCTACACAACATCTGCCTTGCCCACAACTTCACTCAAGGAGTTTACGAATCCTGGATGTTGGATTCTTCATCTTGCTCTTCAACCATTGGGAAGGAAAGTCTCAAGGGGGGTGGCAACCAGATGAAAGAAGAGATAACTGTAATTTTGAAAATTATAAAGTAAAGAAACATCACTCTTGTAACTTCCTCAAGAGTGTGTGTTCCAAAATGCTCCATTGAGAAAGGAAGCATAAGAAAACACCAAGGCCGATTTATTTATATTTCACATTTCTGAATTGCCCATCTACTTCAAAGAGAGATGGTGCACAATAAAGCATCAAAATATAAAATAGTACATAAAAATTAAAGTGTTACAGTTAACATTTTAGAATTCAATATTTAAACAAATTTTAAAAAAGTTTTTAATGACGTAAGAATAATTAAACCCTGTTTAAAAATTAGTTGTCAAAGGCAAATGGAGGACTGTCATGGCAACAACCAACCTCACAACAGTGTGCTCTGGCTCCCCGTGCATGGCCCAGAGCCATATTTTAATCCCTTTTCAGGAGGCTAGGGAAGTGGTGGCCCATGTCACATCCAGTGGAAGAATATTCTATAGGGTGGGGGCAATGGAAGAGAAAGTTGTCTTCCTACACCTTGCCAATCAGAATTCTTGTTCAGATGGGAGCTGCAACATACCTTCTCTGCCTCATCTTGTGGGATGGGATGATGGGATGGAGAAAGTCAATTCCATGGCCTGGCCCCATGCCAGGTAGGGCTTTATGAACACCTTGAATTTGGCCTGGAAGCAAACTGGCACCCAGTGCAATTTTCAGGGAAGAGGTGTTACCTGTGCCTTTCTTTGGGCACCCAATATAGCTTGTACAGCCACACTCTGGATACTTCTGGATACTTTTCAAGGGTAGCCCCATATAAGGTGTTGCATTAGTCCAATGAGAAAGGTGACCAGAGCATGAGTGACTGAGTAGACAGTCTCTCTATCCCATAAAGAGCACAGCTGGTGCACAATGCAAAGCTGAGCAAAAAAAAAAAAACCCTCTTTCAGCAGGAACCATGAGTCCTAGAGGACTCCCAGATTACACACCAGGTCCTTCTGGGGTAATGCAGCCACATCCATGACCAAAGATGATAAACTCCTAGAGAGAGAGAGAGAGTTCCACCCACAGCTACTGCATATTTCCATATTTCAGTCTGTTATTCCCCATCCAGACCCACACAGCCTCCAGGCATCATGAAAGAACATCCACTGCATCGCTCACTTCACCCAGGATGGGGAGACATAACTGGCTATGATCAACATACTGGTAATACATCATCCCAGATGATCTTGTCCAGCAGTTTTATGTCGATATTAAAAAGGAGCAAAGAGAACAGTGTAGTACCCCAGAAAGCAGGTATTGTGAGCTGGGCTTCTATTTCCCTATTAACAAAGATTGGGACTGGCCTTAGAAGAAGGAATAAACCAGCATAAAACTATGCTACCCCTCCCCCCAAATCCCTAAGTCACCTAAAAGGATATCATGGTTAATGGTTTTGAAACCCATCGAGAGGACAAGAAAAGCAAGGATGGATGTACCATCAATTTAAAGGAAGGCTCAGCCCTCTGAGGATGTAGTCAAAATCCCAAAGAAAAACTATATAAGCTGCTAAATGAGAAAGATGAGGCAGAGTTATTCAGCTTTTGGGAAATATTGTGGGAAATCTAGAAAGGAATAGAAGGGCGAAGAAATACAAAGAATCAAATCACAGAGAAGGAATCAGTTGGTCACTTATCTCATAAGTGGCAAGTTTGCCCAGATGAACAACTCTGGTGGAAGGAGAAATTTGTTTTCCAGAATCCACTCAGCCGGGAAACCCCACTTCTTAGCCCCGAAGAGGCAATGGCTTTTTGAATGAATAGCTTTATGAATAGCTTTTCTAGCCTATCCCACTCTTTACTATGCAACCAAGTAAGACTGAGAATGTCTTATCATATTTTTGGGACTCACTAGTTGATTTTTTTTGAATTAGAGCTTTTCTCCCTGTAGTGTAGTTCTTATTAGCTCTTATTAAAATATATATTGGAAAGAATAGAAAGGAATTCAAAGTGGGCTCTTCTGGGTGCAAAGAGACTCATGATCAATGACCTGTTTGACCCACTCCTTGGGCATAGTCTGGTCACCTCCTACATATTTATTCAATGTAAACTGAAGGAATTTCCCTCCAGAAAAATGTGGAAGAAAACCTTACAGACGAAAGGAAGCACACATATATCTACATTTCAAGAAAGGAGGACAAAATAATAATAATACATATGCATTTCTAATACTTGATGTAAGAATGAATATTAATAATTAACAAGTCTCAAGTTATTTTTTTACAGTTTCTACATGTACAGTTACATGTATTCAATAAAGTGTTATGGTCTAAATAAAAATAAACAAATCAGTTGCATTGCCATAGCACTTTTGATAAAATGTATTGAGAAACAAAGGTGTCGTGGTTACTACATACAATTCTTCTATATTTCTAACAGGTTAAAACTTTCCCGCTGCTCCAAAAACCTGTTTCCCTCACAAGCTACAGTCACCCTTTAATAATTTCAAGAAAAAACTTTGCCCAAGCCACCCATAGAAAATAATGTGTACCATTTTCTAAGATTGGTCTTGTTAGGTAAGCTCCCCGTTGGGAGAGCAAGTACATTCAGAAAAGCTTTGTTAGAGTTGTGTTGGAGAACACACAAACCAGCATACAGAGACACTGCAGTTTAAATAGGCTTTTACTTTTGTGAAAATAGAGGTATCAGAGTCCATTAAACAGTCCAAGTCATACACGGTCAATCATCAATGTCTTTCAGTTAAGGGATAATCCCAATAACATAGTCCAGTATCATATAATCAGTTCAGAACTCAAAGTTTGCTACCAGTTGCAAAACTTACAATAGTTCACAACACTCAGATCAGATCTGCCCAGCATCTACCGAACAGAGAACTAACAGTCATTCTGGCTCCCTCTTATGGCCAGTTGAGGAAAACAGCAACCA